CCTGTCTCTTATACACATCTAGATGTGTATAAGAGACAGTATATATACTGTATATGAAAATGGCAACGAATTTGAGATAAACAATTGTGAGTAATGACATTCTACATTATGTTGCACCTCATCACGTTTCAAAGTAATAGTAATTTTTCCCGTTTCCCAATGTCGTAATTTAATGAAGACTGCTATCTTAGTATCATTTCCGTTATAGGGCGTCATCCTCGGCAGACATCCCGCTCCTACGAGATAGGCTAGAAAGGCTACAGTAGCCTAATTCACTCAATGACAAATATGTCATCTTTTAATCCTATCTGAATAATACCTTTGATCCGTTCGTTTGGTTTGACGGTGTGACTGCGCGTTCCATATAGCTGCTACACATCAGTAGTATTCTCAAAGGATTGAAATCTATCATGACGATGTCCAGTGGTGAACTATAGCCATGACAACGGAACTTTTATTGTAAACACCAATGGCCTGAAGACATTATGATGATCACGTCTCTAATAATGTACCGCTTGTACTTCACAGTTAGTTACAGCACGGATACTTTTATTTCTACATTAATTGCACAATAACCTTTTTGTTTCGAGATTGTTCCGTTTACTTCAGTAAATATTTTAAGAATAAACAATACTCACTAGACCTTACCCTAGTAGTTTCGTTTTTTCATGATACGCCGGCGATTGTCATGTTCTAAATACCTATCAAATTAATTTAAAATCCTGGAATGTCCTACAGAATTGATATCGATATCTTTTCATTTAAAATAGTATAATGTTCTTTGACGCTCGTCAATAATATTAATACTGTAGCATTTATCACCGACAGGTTCGTCGTTTAGCGACCGTTACGGGACTCCGTCGTCGGCCACATCCCCAACAGACAGGTACGATCGTTATTCTTCAGATGTTAGCTCGGCACGGGATCGGTTTTTAGACAGGGATCGGGATAGAAAGGACTCTGGTGATTTGACGGGCGACAGTGGATCTAGGAGTACCGGTAATCGTTTCCGTCGCTATAGCAGCGATACGTCGAGCCCAGCACCATCGCCTACAGTTACAAATGCTGCATCAGCAAGGGAAAGAGTGAGCTCATATCATGGTGGTGAAAAGGTACGGTAAATAAAATAATCGTCTTACTCCTTTGATTCACACTTCCATCCGTCCATACTCCTTGGTGTTACTCTCATATTATCTATTCTTTCTCATCCATCTTCTCCATCATCCTTCTCTCTCCTCTTTTTCTTTAATCTGTCTTTTTAAGAACTGACTTTTGCATGGTCCTTTCTTCTCTGATTTCCATACCACTATGATCAACACTCGTTTTTTAGTTTTATCCAATCAGTTCATAATATTCTTTCTAGCCATTTTAATTTTTAATAACTAGGCCTACAAGACAATGTTTCTGTATTTTTTGTTGTACCGCGAAAATTACAACAATACTATACTGCATTGTTTATGTTTGTGTTAATTGCCCGAGTCGCACGCAGCGAAACCATGGTAATTAAACCTACACAGTGATTCACCTTAACCACAACGGTAAGTATGGACTGCACATGTCCGTGCTAAACTTTATTAAAATTCATCAGTGACTGACATTTCAAGTAATTATAGCGATTTCGTTGCCTAATTTGCGAGGCGTCAATGTATCGAGTGGACGCTTAGCGTACATAGTCAAGTGGTAGAACTTAGCTCAGTGTGATAAAGAACGTGTAGTGCACCGCAAAAAGTGTCTCTTGTTCGGGTCGACGAGATTTCCATGCAATTACCGTGATAACAATGTATTGGTTGAATATAGAACAATCTTAAACTTAACAAAATAAACTTACGATCGAATCAACATTCGTGTGTTTCAAAAATAGATAAAAATGTTGATATTTGTCAAGGTAATATGTTACCACCCACGACGCCTCTACGCCCAAAAAAAATGTTTCAAAGAAGTATGTTTACAGCATGCATTTCATTGTCATTGAACTGGTGCAGAAACTTTGGCGATTTAATATTGAGGCAATGTAGTGTAATTCATTCATATGCTGAAATACCTTCGGGAACGGATGTTGATGGGTGGTATATATGAAGACCGATTCACTTTTGACCCGATTATGATGAAAAAATCGTGAGTCATTTAATTGAAAAGAAGTCAAGTCGATCAAGAAGATTGATATTGTACAACCCTGTCACATGGATTTGTTTAAATAGCAATTGTTAAAGATGTTTTCTTAATTCAGTCGATTGAATGCTTTATGATATACAATAGGCCTATCTGCTTTTTTCGGGTCTATTTCTAATTAGAGGCATTAAAATAAACCCAGTGTGGCTTTGGAGAAACACTCAAATGGATTCAAAATATTGAATTGAAACGCAGATCAAAACAATTAAGATTTGATGATTTGCAGAACAATCCCTATATGACCTCCACTGCCCCTTGAAAACTTGTTGCCAAGGTTCTCACAAAACGACAGCGTAAGTACGTAAACGTGTGTTTTGTGGGACATGCGCGTATTCCTAGCCCTGTTAGAATTGTGCATATGTTAAATTCTTGAAAATCCATCGATTACCACCACTGGCCAAATTAAAAAGCCAATCAAAACAAGCTATAGAAATGTATTTTATGTCATAAATGGCCATGGAAAGACCTGTATTTTCATTACAGCCTATTTTTCTATTAAAATGGTGACTTTTTCAAGCATTTCAAACAATTAATATTAGTTTAAAGGTTTTTCTTTTTAATTTAATAGGCCTAGGCATACAGACAGTTTTGCCTACAATGTGAGGTGGGGATTTCGATGTCACAACGCAAGTCATTTTAGTTTTAGGTGCATCTCAGAACCAAAGAATATTATCATATAAATATGTAGGTTGATATAACTGCTTTTGTTAATCAATGGTTGTTTGACTCCGGGAATTTAACCAGCTTTAGTCTAAGTCAAGCAGAAAGGGGCCAAGAATGTAATGAATTTAACTTTCGGTTTATCATTTTATGATTTTAGTATAAATTAATAAATAACAATATAATCAGTCATGTTTAAATGGTCAAGTTTATTGGTCAATTATCGTCATTATTTTTATATAGCTTTTTCAGGCCCTAGATATCTATAGTATTATCATAAATTGCTTATTTAATTGCTAGCGATATGGTTACCACCATCAGCTTAATAAATACCAATTACTGTAGTATTTGATTACCAGCCTATGTAATTCACTGTGGCTATACATCGTTTTTACATAAAAACAATTTGATGTTTGGATTTAATACAGTTAGCAAAGCGTTAGAGCAGGGCATAGTCGGAGCAACAGTCAGCCCGAGTCTGATAGGTCCCATCTGCCACACGATCCAATTTTACGCATAACTGCAATCAAAATAAAAACCTCTTGAATATACCTGACCCCATTGTGAATGCCAGTATTAATAGAGAGATAGCAAACGGTATTTATTTTGACTAGTTTTATTAGTGTATTCTTTCGATTCCATTTGACCCCTCTATTTAAAATTGAGTGCTTATAAACAACACCAAAATGCCAAGTTTTAGGAATGTACACAGGCGTATTTTAATAAACCAATAGAAATCTCAGGAAAATATGGGGGTGATAGGTTGTCCACTATGTTCCACAGTCCATTTCCATAAATTTATACTTCCATTCTTTTTGAAAACATCCAGAACTATAAGTTTAAGTCTGAACATCGATGGAGCGATAATCATGATGCGGCTATGACGAACAGTAACCTGGTAATCATCAACGCTCTGGTTGAAAGCAACTTTGAAACATTATACATTAGCCTAGATGGCCTTATACAGAGAGTAACCAATATAATCAAATTAATTCTTATTTTTAATTTATGAATTTAATTATTATTACTTACAAATACTTTTTATAACTTCTCAGAACGGGGTAAAATGCCCAATTTTGATCGTTGGATTGGTTGGATGTGTCTTCGGTGTGAAATACACGTTCGATGGAAATTGTCATAGAAGCCCATCGGACATCCCCACTCCCAACTCCTTACCAGAATTTTATAGTAAAAAGTCTGTAAATCTGCGAACCTGAATTGGTTTGGATCTGTCTCTCATTGTAATTGATTAAGATCATGTATCCATCCCTAAGGTCCAATAAACTGTACGGTAAATCACGACACCAGTGAACGACAAACGTAATGGACTGTTCCTTAATATCAACCTCTGGTACGAAGTGTTTGGTGTGCTCTGAATGGTTCCATATTATCGTGTGGGTGTTTTGATCATTTGTAGGATTTAGGATAATCATGGCTACAGTATAGGCATGTTTATCAAATATAACGTAGTCTTGAAATGTACTTTTTTTAACATAATTATTATAGGTCTCATATATTTTATAATTTATTAGTCGCTGTTTGTTGGTGCTGTTTGTTGGTGCTGTTGTTGAAGATGGTGGTGGTGCTGTTGCTGGCATTTCTTGCTTCCTTCATGATCCCTGTCACGTTTTAATACACATTTTGACATCAACACAAGGACTGCAACTGACATCCGACACATAAACGTTCCTGTTAAATCCTTTAAGTATTCTTCTGACACTGATCATAATCCTTTATCATTCGGTAGACGATATTCGATTGGGCCTACTTGTCAAGTATTGGCAGATGTTTAAATCATTTTCAAATGTATGTGATAACTATGAACCGTGACGTGTTTGTATACAGTCAATATGAACTTGAGGAGAATGGAGATTATAAAGATGAGAGGAAGAAGAGGAGGAGGAGGAGGAAGAAGAAGAAAAGGAAGCAGAAGGAAGAGGAAGAGGAGGAGGAGGACGATAACGGCTCATGACAGCGGTAGCGATGTACATAAGTTTATTTATTGTAATGATGATGAGGAGGAAGAGAATAATGGTGAATATTCATTCCATTTATTGATGCTGTTGATGATGAGGATGATGAAGATGATGATGATGATGAATAAATAAATATATCAAAATATATAAAAAGAGGCATTGTATGCCTACATATAGGCAACCTATCGTATCCTTCTCTCTTGGTCCCAATTGCAATAAAAGGGCGCCACTGAAAAATGTCATAAAATTTAATATATCCATGGGGCAAGGATTTTGACAAGAGCAGCAAGGGGCGTAGTTAGGCCAGGGGCGGATCCAGATTTTTCAAAGGGAGGTGGGTTTCAGAATAGATACCGTAAGTGAGTAGCGCTTACAAATATGTAGTGAATTTTTTTTTTTAATTAGTGCCAAAACGAAAAAGGGGCCATTCCCCTACTGGATCCGCGCCTGCAGGCCATCTACAGATATAGTAAGTAATGAAATTTAAAAGTTGACTGTCAATCACTTACCTAATATGGGTTAAAATTGTGGTAGGTAAGCATAAATGATGGAATGACAGGACCCAATATCCACGGGAACGGTACCGTAGTACAATTAGTATTTACTAATATCTTTAGCCAGGATGACACAATCATTTTAAAGAAATGTTTTCATTGTGGTCCTGGAAAAAAAAATAATAATAATAACAATAATAATAACAATAATAATAAACAACAACAAAAAAATAATAATTATAAACAAAACACAAAAGAACACACCCAGAGTCAGGCATTAATAATCATAATAATCAGTGCAAATTTTTTTTTTTTTTTCCTTTCCCTTTTCATTCTTTTTTTTCCTCCAATTCCTCCTCAGAAATCACGAAAATGGCATACGCGCGCCCCCACTTTTGAGATGTCGCCGCCGTAATGGTCAGATTTAGTGCATAATTCCTTACACAAAATGCCTGGAATGTGAAATCAGTTGGAAAACCCAACATGTATTCGGGTACGTGAGAGAAAATAAAGGATTCCATCATTTGGGGTCACGGACAACTTACAATAAACCGCCCTCTCATAATTATTAAACCATTACGTATTCATATTCAACAACGAGTGCCGTAGTAAATAGAACGTGTGGTTGAATTGTCCTCTCAAGTTCGAACTACACAAAAGTAACTTAGTTTGTATTGTATTTATCAGTTTATATGGCAATACAGTATAATACCGCGGGGTTTGTTAGGTACCGTAACTAAAGTCACAGACAGCAAACAATTTATTCTGTGTATTCATTCAGTATGTATGTCAGTTGAGAATTCTGATGTCTTTTGACGGTACATTTTAGACGATAACAGCTGATACAGTGCATGAGCATTTGTCTACATAGCCATGTCTAAAGTAAGTTACTTCTTAAAGTTTTATAATCGTGTGTTCTTTAGCTGTAGAAGTACCATTATAGTTATTAAACCTTGTGTTAGAGATATAGTTTTATTACCCTAGCACATCTTTCGTATGTTTTGCATTTAAAATTGATTTGATAGCAAATACAGGGTAGGAATATTGTCTACTATTATTATACTAAGACCCTATATAGACAAACTTATTTATTGAGTTCGGTGCTGGATTAGCGTTATCCTCTCACGTTATGGTTCTTTGTTCGAATCCCAATGATTTTTCAATATAACCATTGTTATGATTTAAATCCATAGCTATTTCATGACATATTTCATGCTATTCTTGTTGTGTTGCAAATATATATAATGTCTTGATACATTCATTGCGTACTTAAGGAGCGATCGGGTCACTCTACTTTCAGTTAATATTGACATTGCATAATTAGGTCTAATTTATGAGTTATGAAAACGACTCGCAAGCTAGCTCTACTTTTATTCTTGAGACATTCAACCGAAGATACTTTACCTATCGTTGTGTGAAGCATAGTAATTTTGTTTGGGTGTGTTTGGCTTACACTATTCGCAATGGAAACAGACGAAATGAGCGACACGCTAGGGCCACTGCCGGTGAGTTTCAAACATACCGTAGTTGGCCTATATAAATATAATGTTGGATCTGAAATTGCCTGTTAAAATATCGAATGTGGGACGAGTGTTATTTAGAACGAGATACAAAGTAGGCTCTAGTACTTTATTTGCTATAGTATGACACAATGAAGTATCCATTGTTTGGTTGTAGACTTGTCAGCGAGGTCTCTGCCAATGCGACTTCCCTATTGTTAGTGTTATAATAACATGATGCAATTGATGTTTTCACTTGAGACAATTCTCTGAATAAGATATCGGTTATGAAGACATATACCACAATATATACCTAATCGACTTTGAGATTACAATCCATTAAAATTTTATATAAGCATTCGGTTGGAAATTTAACACGCAACATCAATGAAAAGAAATACATAAGTAGTTTTAATATGAGATGTAAAATTGCAATTGGAAATACGTTTCGGACGTATATACGGATAAGAGAAGAGTTCTAATAAGTTTCCTATATCTTTCATCAAAATGATTTCATTCATTGTTATAGAGTTTTGGCTGCTGCAGGAAGAGGTGTTTGTGCCAGGTGGGGAACGCCCTTTTCTCCACCTATTTTTGCAGCTACACAGTTATAAGTGTGAGTGAGCACATACTGCGCGCGTAAATAGATACCGGACGGCAGCAGTGATAGAATACGAGCGTTTTGAGTAGTTTCGATATGATGAATATCATGGTATGAAATAACATGTGATTTAGTTTTGTATTTAACCGTTGTATTTCCGGGATGATAAATGTAGTTTGTGGATACACCTAAGAGACCTACGTTTATTGAATATAAATTTGAAACACACTACTTGGACAATGACCGAGGTAATTATTCTTATTTGTATCCAATAAGAGAGAAAGTAGCTGACAAGATCAAAATATTATAGTAATACTTTCTTTTTGGATTAAAACATTATTTTTCTATGTTTATTTTAGAGTTCGACGACAAACTACGTTGGATTTGCGACATTACCGGACCAAGTGCATCGGAAATCGGTCAAGAAAGGCTTCGAGTTCACACTGATGGTCGTAGGTAATAATATGATCAATTTGTTATTTATAGATAATGCGAATTCAATGTTTTTATTGTGATGTTTTTGTGTATGCATTGTGTGAACTATCTGCCTTTAGAGCCACAACACAATGTTCATTATTGTTGTATCCAAAGTAAATCCGACATTGTAAAGAGGAAGTTACTAATTTATGATATACATTACTTTCGACAAGGCCTTGAGCTGGAGCTTGTGATGCCTTGCAATCCTAAGGTTGTTGGTTCAAATCCTGTATTCTATTCTTTAGTATAAACTACAATTGTTGGGTGCAATGCCGTAGCCAAGATTTTTAAACAGTGCGGGACAATCGGGGTATATCGGAGTGGACCCACTTTACGTGTAAATTTAAATAATGTGGACCCATTTGCTTAAAAGTTGACTAATTCTATGCAAAATATGAGAAATCTGGACCTCTTTTTTTCAAAAAGCGTCACTACTTGCTTTTGCAACAGCATCATTTAGGATATCTGCAGTTACACAGTAGTACTTATCAATATAAACAAATAAATATAAATATATAAATATATTTGAACAATTGATACACAATGTAGGCCTATGGACCACCTCTCCAGAGTGTCATCTGACCGATAAAACAGTGCCAGGGATACGCGCTTGTCCCACTACGTGTTGTCCACACAAACGCACGCGTTTACGTACGTTTACGCTGCCGTTTTGTGGTATCAAAACATACTAGTAACATATCCAAGGGATGGCTTAGAACAGTCCATTCATTGAGTATAGGCATGCACAAAAATTGATTTTGTATACAGTGACAGCTATATTCCTGTCTAATATCTTGCTTTTTTCCATATTTTCAGGAGAATCGGGACTTGGAAAATCTACACTAGTAAACAGTCTATTCCTGACAGATTTATATTGTGATAGAGCCGTTCCGAATGCAGAAGGTAAGGGGAATTGAAGCAGGTTGATGCCGGAGTGGTTCTCTGGCACGTGTTACAGTAATTAAGTTTACTTAGAGACCAGGCCCTCCCATCCAGCTGTATTGATTGCCAATAAAGAATAAGCATAAGAATAAGTTAGTGGCTATGAAACATGGGGAATGAAGGCACCCATTATTGGTGGCAGGGAAGGCGGTTTAATACAAGAAAAGACATAATTCGTTAATCCCCAGAACTAAACGTAAGCCCTACTTACAGTCCGACCTAACTGACATAAAACTGATTAATGTTACTCTTATTATTGTTATTGTTTGTATATTGTATTATTATAGAACGAATAAGCAAAACGGTGGGTATTGAGCGGTCCTCAATCGACATTGTGGAGTGTGGGGTAAAGTTGAGGCTAACCGTAGTCGATACTCCAGGATTTGGAGATTCTCTCAATGGCGAAGATTCGTAAGTATACCAGCTGAGATTGCAATGGTCTATCAAACGGTTATACAGTTTACATTTTTAATTAAAGGAACATAAATACTCAGGTTCTAATTCTAGTTGTTATTTCGCAGGAATATTATTTACTACCGATAAAGAGGAAAAATAAGTCCTAAGTGATAATTTCTCTGCGAAACCGGTGTTGAAAATAAGTGAATACATAAAGTGAAACAAAAATAAGTGGAATAGTACCGTACTCACTAACACGTGAACTGTGAGGCAGCCAGTGGCGTAACGGTGGGACCGGGGCCCTGTGGCTTTCTGAGAGTGGGGGCCCTTTGGGTTCCGGTCGCCAATTCCATCGTGGGATTTTAGATGTGCTCGTTTTTTAATTATGTTTGTCATTGTATTCTAAATGTTTAAAGACAAAATAAATGATATGAGTGGCGAATCAAGGAATGTTTAATATATGCCCAGGGAGAGACTTCACTGATAAAGGGTCAGTACCACCTCAGTCCCACCATGGTGGGGACTGAAGTGAGGAAATTTATGATTACGGCACCTCTACATGGCACTCACAGACTATTGAACAATTTAGCTGCCCCCTTTAATTCGCCACTGGATATAATATGATATACAGTCGATGTCAGAGACCCATTATGCTGTAATGTATCAACAAAGCCATTTTGGGTCAGGGTACTGTA